GGGTCTCACCTGCCGAGGGACCCCGGGCAGCCAAACCGGGCAGATTCCAGGGGGGCAGCGGGATGGAAGGTGCCGACTTCCCAACTCCCCCCCGTGGAACCCCTTCCCAGGGCTTGCAGACTCCTGGTTTGCACCCCCTCGCTCCCTTTCCCACCTGTCCTTCCCCAAAACGCAGGGCTTGTGATGGCTGGGCGGGATTTTGGGAAGCCGCAGCATCCAAGGGCGTGCAGAGACACCGGGAATCGCTCAGGAACCGCCTCCCCAAATTTCCTTCGTAGTCCCTTGCCCTGGATCCAACAGCAAATTACTGATGTTGTTATGGTAGTTATTACCATTGGTCTCAACTCCCCTTGCGGGAAAAGTGTGAGGTCTGTCTTTGGTTCAGATCTTCATAACCCACCGGAGAAAGAAACATCAGGTTATTGATAACAATCAAACGCTGACTGAGCCTCATTATGGCTTTTACACATTTTTTTAAAAATCCCTCTTTATGGGGAGTTGAGACGGTCAAAGAAAAGGTGTAGATGGAGATTCTCTAATTATTAGAACTCTGTCCCGTCCCCTACTAAGCCTTTCGTTTATTTTTTACTTGATTTTCACTTTTTTTCTTGAGGGAGACAGTAATCATTCCCACACACTTTGGGGGATGCTGCTGCCTTTCCCCCAGCAGGAATAAAACAAAATATCTGGGCATTGAGGAGGATAAAAGCGAGATCAAATCCCTGGTCCGGTGGCTCGGGGAAACCTGTCCTGTCTCCCTGTTAATCGCATCGGCTGTTTCTGTGCGGTCCCCAGGGCAGAAGTGTGGCTGCCACCCGGGTCGGCCCATTAATGAGGTTCAGTTAAGCCTTTCTGCTGGGTGAGAGTGGAGGGGAGAGGTTTGTAAGTGCAGCAGGGACTGGGGGGAGTCCCAAAGCCCTCGAGTTTCTTTCAGATCCTGCACTCGCAGGCCCGGGTGGAGTCGCTCCTTTACCCTCCCCTTAACAAGACCATGAATTTATTAACATCTTCATCACTATTGCTAATATTACTAGGCCGACATTATCAATTATTGGTATCCTGTAAGCAGGATCCCACCGGGGATGAGAACTGGATCCAACTGGACGAGTCACAGTGAATCCGGTTACTTCCTTCAGATAGTTTCTGCTTTCTCTGTGTTTTCCCCTTCCCTGAATAATAAAGAGAGGGGAAAAAAATAACCGGGATCGGCACAGGAGGCTCCAGGATGGTGAGCAAGGGAAGGTTCCCTCTGCCAACTCCTTCCTTTGGTGGGGGTGGAGACTGGGAGAGCTCCTCAAATCCCAGCAACTGAGGACTGGGAAGTGCTGGAAAAGGATGCTGAGAGAGCAGTCAGGGGAGGGATATTCCCTCCTCGGGGGGAAGGTCGGGGTGACTCCCCGGGAGAAGCTGACTGTTCCCGCCCCAAAGACCCCACTCCTGCCTCGCTGTCTCACCCACCAGAAGGTTTTCATGGCTCTAATAGCCTGGTCCAACATCTTCAGGGCTTCGAGTAGCTCTTTAGCAAACACATCCCCAGACTAGATCAGCACAAGATAAATATTACCTTAGCATCCCCACAACACGTGCCAGCCTAGCTCATTTGCATATTCCTGGGTTAATAATCGCGAGGCAATTGAGGTGTTTTGACAACGATCAGGAGCTGAATATGCTTAATATGCTTAATATATGCCCTGCAGTTGCACAGAACAGAAGGGCAGGGTTGCAAATATGCATTCCCCATTTGTTTGACATTTTGAAGAAGGTAAAGAATGGCTGAACTAATGGCGAAATCTTACAGTCATTCAATAATTTAGATTTTATTGAATATTCCCCTTCTTTCCTCCGACATTTCAGTCTTGCTAATTAGGACAAATAAGAAGGGGCCTGCTGTTAGCAAGGATAATAACTGGCGAGGTTCCATTTATTAAGTCACTTTCCGTGGGTGTAGAATTGATCTGTGGCTGTGACTGGCATGCTTTCTAGACCTGCAGCAACTTCCAGAAGTCATTACGGGCTGCACGAGGGCCCTCGTTAGGGATTTCTATCGATAAGGGCTCAAGGTTTACGTTGAGGGGCTCGTGGAATCCCCTTCCCCGCCCCTGTCCCAGCCGGTGTCACCTCCTCCACTGGCGGGGGGGCCGCCCCCTCCCAGCCCCGTGCAGGGGGGGCCCTGCGGAGCTCGGTGTCCCTCTTGTCCCCTCCCTCCGCCTCGCCCTTCCCCTCCTCCCTTCCCCACGGAAAGGGCGGGTGTGTTTGTGGAAATCCGATGGAGATGGATTTGCGGAGGGAGATGTTATCCACGCGCACCTCTTTTGAAGTGGAGTGAGGAGGTGCCTGCTCCGGAGAGGCGGAGGGGATGTGCAGATCCCAGATCCAGCTCCGGAGAGGCGGAGGGGATGTGCAGATCCCAGATCCAGCTCCAGAGAGGAGAAGGGGATGTGCAGATCCCAGATCCAGCTCCGGAGAAGAGAAGGGGATGTGCAGATCCCAGATCCAGCCCCGGGCACCGGGCAGGGCCGAGTGGCCCCCTCTGCTGCGAACCCCGGCCCGGGCCAGTCCCGACCCTCCGATTCCCTGCTCCTGCCGCTCCCAGCAGGGCTGGATTCAGGATGGCGAGGGGGAGGAGGGGAAATATGTAAAGCACTGGAACAAATGGCGCTTTGACAGACAACGCCGCCGCTGAGTATGTTCCAGAAGCTGGAGATATTAAATAAACTTAAAGATAATGAATAGCCTTCTGTGGTACTTGGGCTGTGCCTGGGCTTTCCTTCCCCCCAGAACTCGTGACTCTGGGACTTTCAGAGCCGAGAGGAATCGGTGAGAGAGGGCAGGGCGATGGGGGGTGGGTGATGGCTCCCAGACGGGGATGAGAAGGCAGCTCGTCTGCAGGCACCGCCAGCCACGCACCAGACTCTGCCTTTTATTTATGGGAAGGTGTTAAGTAATGTTCACTTGCATATTTTAATTGCGATCTACTTCGATTTTCAATAGGAACCCACACCTTCCCGGAGTGAGATGCTGGGAGGTTTGAATTGTCTGCTCGTCTGGCGAGGAAAAAGCCTGGCGATATTATTGAGAATGAAAAGGTGGCCGTAAAATCACCCCCCCCTACCCCTTTGTTAGAGAGGAAAGAGATAATCCAGATCTTTGAACAGCAATTTCGAAAACATCTGTCGAGGGTTTGCTTTCCTTATTTCTCTTTATTTCTTTTTACAGCCCGGAGTGCAGAGCAAGCCCAGCTCTGACGCTTTGAATCCCAACCCAAATATCAGGCGCCCCCGCGGGAGTTCCCCGGCCCCTAGGCTGTCCCTGGGGAGGGGGGATGACACTCCCCAGGCACCGAACACACCAGATCCCAGCTCTCTGTGGGTCCCCGGGGCAGCCGGAGGAGCGGGACGGGCGGCCTGGGCTTTCCTTAACCCCAAAGAAAGGGCACGATGGGAGCATCTCTCCCTGTGGATGCTCCATCCTCCCTCGGAGCATTTTAAGGTGTGTCCCCCCCTCCCCTGGGCTCCCCTTTCCGCTTTATTTTCTCACAAACCCCTCCCAAAAGCGTCCCAAATTTGGGCCGTGTCTGAGCAAACACCGATGACTTAGCAAAGACGCAACATGATTTATTTTGGGTGTCACCGCGATTGATTCCTGCGCTGACCCCTCTTCATTCATAAGCCTCCCCAGTCCCCTCACCCTCACCCTGCACCTCGGCCTCCCTGATGTACGAGTTTTATATTTAAAATTGTATGTTGAGAGAAAGGTTTTAAAGGGATCCCCGAGCCGGGAGAGCAGCACAGGCGGCCCTGGAAGGAGATCACGGATTTATAAGACCGAGGGAGTTCTGGTTTGCACTGCTGGAAAAGAGGGGTGGAAAAAAGAAAGGGCTCTGTCAGGCCCATCTCGTTCCTCTCGTGCTCCTCTAACGTTTGGTTTTTGACTAAAATGCCTGTTCCCACCACCCTCCCAGTGTGGATTTTTAGCGTTTACTCAAAATCCTCCTTTTCGCTTATTTTTTTTTTGTAATCCGGGACGTTTCAAAAGCCAGAAATTGCCATGTGGCCAGGCCGGATTCTCTGCTGCAAGAGAAAGGGAGAAAGAGGAGGAGGAGGAGTGGGATGAAGGCCGGGATGTGGGAGAGAGGGAATGGCCGAGGCCTCCAGCACCGCCGCGGAATGTGCGTGGGCTCCGCGCCTCTCCCAGAGCTGCCTTTGTGTTGCTTTCCAGCCCTTTATTCTTAGGGGAGGGATTTTTTATTCTTTTTTTCTTTTTTTTTTTTTTTTTTTTTTTTTTCCAATCGCAAAAATAGAACCACAAAGGTTAAAATTAGACAGAAAAGTCCAGCCTTCATTTAGTAGAAATTAAAACCGAAATAAATAAAAACCAAGCCCGAGGAAAAGGCAAACAGAGCAGAAGGCAGCAAATATTTCTGACTCCCGAAGCCTCTTGCAATGTTAGTTGGGAGCAATTTCTTTTGTTTCCTCTCAATGCACACATTATTAGATCCTCATTACTGAGAAGCAGGAAAGAGGAAGGCGAATGATTTAGGGGAAAAAAAAAAAGCACATTTTCCAACGAAATTCGAAACACAGGATTCTTGGTTTTATAAAGACATTTATTTACTCTATGAAAATAATATACAATAAATAATTTGCCCTTTGCTATTAAAGGATTTGAATAAATAGTCTACATCTAAAACTTAAAAATAGGAAGGAAAATTCCCCTGATTTTTATTTAAATTTAGTTTTATTAAGAAATCTAAAAGTCTCGTTCTGATTCCTGAGAAAGTCGCTTGAAGGATTTACAAATATTTCTCTCTTGAGGGCTGACATCTCTGATGTGCGTGAGAACTACCGGCTGCTTTCCTTCAAATAAATAAAGTCAAAATAAAACTATCGTTAAATACCTGCATTTTAGCAGAACTCGGGCTGTTCTTTCGTGTGAGCCTCCTAGAATAAATATTGGGGGGTGGGTTAGGGATGTGATTTGGGTCTCAAGGAGCTCGGGATGGGGTGATTGAATGAGAAATGGCTTGAGGTTTGTTTTGGGGGTGCCCCCCTTCTCTCACAGACGAGTGGGGGGGATCTGGCAGTGACTCGGTTGGGGCTGGTGCCCCTGGAAGGGGGAGAAACGTCCAGAAACGAGGTGTGTGGGGAGAGAGGGGCCCGCTATTGGAAATTTAAATGTTGCAGATCTATGGTACAAAGTGCGCTCGTAAAAAAGTCCAGGTCTTCCTCGGAGAAGTGGACGGGGCTCTCGAGGGAGCCGTGGAGAGTGGGGGAGAGCCCCTCGGCGAGCTGCAGGCAGGACTCTGCCGAGAAGATGCTCAGCTCGGGCAGCAGAGGCGACTCTCGGCTGCCGGGGCAGGCGCTGGGCTCGCCCCCCGCCACCGGCTCCGCGTTCCCGGGGGGCCCTCCGGGCTCCTGCACCGGCCCCAGCCCGGGGCTCCCCTCGGCCTCCTCCGCGGGGTCACTGCCCTCGTCCAGGCCGGGGTAGGCGAGATCCCCGTCGGGGGGTTCTTTGTACTGCGTTTGCCTCTTGTGCTTCATGCGCCGGTTCTGGAACCACACCTTGACCTGGCGCTCGGTGAGGTCGAGCAGAGCCGCGATCTCCACTCGCCGCGGCCTGCAGAGGTATTTGTTGAAGTGGAATTCCTTCTCCAGCTCCAGCAGCTGCGTGTTGGTGTAGGCGGTGCGGAGCCTCCTGGAGCCGCTGGTGTCTCCCAGCCCCTGGGTGTCTTAAACACACACAAAAAGCGAGGAGCGGGGGGCAGGTGGAGGGGCTGGAGCCGTCCCGTCCCTGCCGCGGGCAGGGCAGAGCCGTGCCCGGCACTACCGAGCACGGGGTGGGTGCGGGGGAGCCGCTACGTGAGGAAATAAATGTTTCATTAAACTCTTCCCACCGTGGAAGAGGATTGGAAATCACCCCCAGCTCCCTTCGCCTCAGTGAGGAGAAGGGATTTTGCTCCCCGGCCTCTCTCTTTAGAGACCTTCCTTCCCTTCCACCCTCGCGGATAAGTGGAATTTCGAACCATTCCTCCCTTTTTTTTTCTTTCCCTTTCCCGGTAGTTCGGGACGGACGCTTTGATTTCATTATTCCTGTGTTATCCGGCCAATGAGCTCCGGTGTCCGCCCTTCTCCTGCCCGAGCGTTCACCTGAACCGTGCCATTAAAATACTGGAAGGGTGAATTGTGTCTCTAACGCTTCATCCCGAGGGAAAGAGGGTCCCTGGCCGGGGACACCGAGCTCCCTGGCCAAGGAGCGCCTCGGAGAGAAGCTGCTCCTTTATTGGGGAGCTCGGGGAGAATTTGGAGGTGCAATTATTTAATTTTGCAATTAACCCTGAGAGCCCGTCCCTCGCTTTTTCACCTCCCCATCGTGCTGGTAGCAGCCCCCGCGTTTCCCACCCGTCTTTCGTCTTTCTTACCCCCCCACTTTGCACTTCTTTAAGGTTTTGTTTTCTCTTCTTTTTTTCTTTTTTTCTTTTTTTCTTTTTTTTTTTCTTTTAATTTTTTTTTAATTTATTTTTTTCCCTTGGTCTGTAAAAAGCCACGGGGGTAGGAGAGAAAGACAAGTGAAAGGAGCTGCAAAATCCCCTCACTGGAGCGCAGCTCCCCCGGCCCCCTCTCTCTCTCCCTCTTGGCTTGAAGTTCCAGCAATTTGCTCTTTTATTTTCTGGGGGGAGAGGGCAGGAGAACCCCCCCGTGTCCCCCCGGCCGGGTACCTCGCTCGGTGTATTTTATTGTGTGACACAGTTTCGGGGGAGGTGCGGGGCAAAGTCTGTTTGGGGAGGGGGGGTAGGGGGGTTTTTTGGGGAGGGGGTGGGAGGGGAGGATTTTTTCATATTCGGATCCTCTCGGATTTCAGCAAATCCCCCCTCACCCCCTCATGATACGAACCTGCAGGAGATCCCGCGGCAGGGACCGGCACCGAGGAAGATGATGGGGGGGAAGAAGAGGAAGAAGAGGATGGAGCCTGGGTAGCTTTCTTGGACGACTTCTTCTCCTTCATCCAAGGGAATTCGGCTGCCAAGGGGCCGGGCTGTGCCGGAGCCGGGGGCTGGGGCTGGAGCAGGCCATGAGATGCTCTTTTTTGGCTCCTCGGTCTTGCCTGGCTGCTGGAACAAGGATTCAGGCTGAGGACGGCTTGCTCAAAAGGAGGAGGAATTAATGTCGAGTCCTTGATTGATGAAGTTTGAAATGTCTCCAGGACAGCGGGAAGAGACGTCAGGCACTCTGCGAGCGAAGGCTGGCTATTTATAAACCCGATCTCCCTCTCAAATTCAAAATTCATGGCTTTTCCAGGGCCCAGCGTTTAAAAAAGCGGGAGGGGGGAGAGGGAGGAGGAGGAGGGGGAGAGGGAAAGAAAACTGAGGGCCTCGTTTTTTTTATGGCGGTGATGATGGTGGTTCTCGGGCTTTTTATAATTGTTATATTGCTGATAATACAGGCGGAGGGGGGACCTTGCTCTGCTAAACTCGAGACTGGGGCGAAATTGCAGCCAATTCCTGGTCACGTGGAGAGCCCCGGCCAATGGCAGGAGGGGCCTGGTGGCAAACACAGAGCATTATTTTCTTTAATTGATTTAAAAACAGGGAGAAAAAAGGCCAGAGAAGAACCCCCCGAAAAGGCACAGCCGGGCCCCACCACCCCGATGCTGCCAGGCTTCCTTGGATGGCCCCTGTCTGCCCTGCCTGTCCTGCCATCCCTGCCTGTCTTTCCTGCCCTGCCTTCCCTGCTTTCCCTACCAGCCCTGCCTGTCCTGTGTGCGCTGCCTGTTCTGCCTTCCCTGCCTGTCCTTCCTGCCCTGCCTGTCCTTCCTGCCCTGCCTGCAGCAGGTTCCTCCAGCCTCTGAGTTCCCCAGAGTTTGTAGCCCCAGGTGGGGGATCCAGGCCTGGGAAAGGGGGCTTTGCCCCCCCGGGATGCCCGGATGGATCCGGGCTCTGGCTGGGGGATGTTTCCATCTCATCCTTACACTGTGAAACTCGGAAAAATGAAGCCAATGTGAGGGTTTGGTCCAGGGATTTGTGTCCGAGGCTGGATATGAGCACTTGGGAAATCAAGTGAGCTTTTAGGTCAAGGGTAGTTAGACCAGCCCGATTTACCAGGTTAAATTACTTTTAAAGAACAGCATAATCCTTCTCCTTCCAAAGCCAGACTTAATGGACCTTTTGCACTTTCCTTAAAGGCCAAACATGTTTTAAGGTCACAGATATCTTTGAAATCACATTTCTTCCTTCCCATCTCTTCCCCCCCCCCCCCCCCCCCCCCCTCATTTCCAATAAACAGTGCCACTTCCAGAGTTTACAAAATAAATAAATAAAATGAGAAGTCATTTCCCAGGAAGACTTTTCCACCACCCCTCCCCTCTTTAAAGTGCCCGGGAACACAAACGGAAAATCAGAGAGAAACGATCAATCTTTTTCTCCAAAGACTTTTGACAGCTCGGCCTGACTCCCTCAGCACAGAAATTTGGCTTTTGCCGAAGAGTTCCTTAACCCAAGGGGGATTTATAAAGTCCAATCCAAAGGCAGAGAGTAAAAATTTCGGGAGGGAGAGCAAAAAGAAGTCTCCTGGTGCCGAATGGGAAAGGGGCTGGTTTGGAGCTGGTTTGTTCAAGCTCCATTTCTCCCATTTTGCAGCCGGGAGGGACCGGCTGCATTCACGCAGGGAGAAGCCTGGAAACTTTTGTCACTTCAAGCATCTGTGTGGGTGGTGAGGGGTTCTGAGGCACACATAATAAATCTAAAGCTGCAGCTGAAGCCGAGGCCGAAGCGCAGTTTAGCAAAGGGGCAAAGAAAATAATAATAATAATAATTTTAAAAATTACAAACCAGCTGAATCAAGGGAAGATTTTCCTGAAGTATTTTGTGTAGTGAATGCCCTTATCAAAATCACCACAAATCTACTCAATCTCAGCAGATCAGTGGAAAAAGAATAGGTGGGTTTCACATCATTTCTTTCTTGTTTGGATGAAAGTGGAATTTTGGGGGTCTCGGGCTTTGCCATAAGGCCAAAAGCTCCTTCTTTTTAAGGGGTCACTGAGGAGCTGGGATGAAGTGGAAGAGTTTGGGGTGCAAAAGGAAACTCCTTCCAGCTGCTCCCAACAGTTGTCTCTTGCTTTTTGCTCACACTGAGTTGCAAGAAAAAAAAAAAAAAACAACAAGAAGAGAAGGGGGGGAAATAAAAAGAGGAGACGGGAAAAAAGAAGAAAAGAGAGAGAGAAAAAAAAAATAAAAACAAAAAGAACTTCCTGGGGAAAGGGGGAATTTTTTTTCCCACGCATCACACGGAGGCACAAGGGGAAAAAAAAATCTCCCTGCTCAAGGGGAAAGGCCTCACATCACAGGAATAAATTCACAGGGCCCGTGAACGACAGAGAAATGCAAGAACTGTAGGACAAACCCGGGCCTGCTGCTTTAATGCAGAGGCCCAAATTAACCCGGGGATGTGAGGAGTTGGAGGAGATGGAGCCCGTGGAGGTGTCATGGCTGGAGCCCCAGAATTGGCGCTTTTTTTCCCCTTTTCCCCCGATTTTAACCAGTTCCTGGGAATCCCTGCCACAAACCCAGCAACATGGCGACGGGAAAAATACATTCCAGGAGGGTGGGAGGGGGAAGGCAGCGCCAAACCCTTGTTCTTTGAGGCGATCCCAATCAGAGCCTGCACGCTTTTATGCTTTTAAATTATAGTAACCCCGGATGGTAAATTGCTCCTTGCATGGACGGGCAGAACCCAGCCCCGGTCCTGGGGAGAAAAACAAGCCCTGTCTCTCCGTGCTCCCGTTATTTATTATTGTGGGAAGGTTATAATTATTAACCTGGAACTTCATTTATTAGGAGGGAGCGGAGCCGGCAGGAGGAACGGCATCATTCCTCATGTGATCCTTTCTCCTCTGGCCCTTTTCCTACCTGGGGGTTTGTGCAGACACCTCTGGATGGTCCCGACTGTGCACGCAGGTGCCTCAAACACACACACACACATCGTTTCCACAGCCCACCCCTAATTTTGGGTACCTTTTGCAGCCTTTTTCTGCCGGCAGCAATCCAATCCCCCTCTCCTCTCCTCTGTAGGGGACAATCCCCTCCTCCTCAGCCGCACAAACGGAGCGTTTCCAGCCTGACAAGCGCTTCACCCCTTTTCCAGGACCATAAAACTTTTATTGCTCCTCGCTGCTTTAATATAAGTTTTCTTAGGGCTTTGGAGCATAAAAGGCAAATTATTCACGGTATTATCCCATCTGCTTTCGCTGCTGGCAAAGGGTTGTTCTCCCTTTTGCTCTCACCGATAATGTAACATTTGGCAGAGGCTTTTCCCCCCCTTTTAATAACAATTTTTGGATGAGTGTGGGGTCTGAGGGGGGGGTGTGTTTGCCTCTGCACATGTGTGTGCGTGTGCCTGTGTGTACCCGCGTGTGCATCACACATCCTCGTTCTTTATTAATAATGAAATAGCACATTAATTTATTAATTCATTAAGAGATTTAATTTCTCTTCACTTCCGAGGTCCCCGCATGGAAACTCTGGGCTTTTTTTTTTTTTTTTAATTTCTTCCCTTTATCCCCCCCCCTTTTTTTTTGGAATTAATCCTTTTCCTTTGTTTTCATTTGCGGCCCAATGGAAGGCCGGCCCCGGCTCCACGTGATTCCCTCTTTGTGGCCGCGGAGGGGGCGCGGAGGGGGCGCGGAAGGGGCGCGGAGGGGGCTCTGGGGCCGCTCATGGCCCCAATTCCCAGGGTTTCACCCCAACCAGGGGACGAAGAGCCCAAACCCGGAGCCTGCGCTCGATCCACCCCTTCCTCGCCTTCCCTTCGCTGTTTTTTTCACAGACAAACAATCTATTTTTGTTGTTGTTGTTGTTTTTTTGCCTTTCAATCCGACTGAGAGGACAAGGTAAAAATTGATAACAGAAAGTTTATTCAAGAATTGTTCAACAGACAACCCTTAAGCGAGGAAATAAAATAACTACTGTAAGAACAAAGAAAGATCTCCAAAGAGGAGGGGTGAGGTGGGAGGGAGGGATTAGCTATAGTTCTTCTAATTCAGGACTATACAATTACAGTCTGGTTCTGCTCTCATGCCTCCAGTAGAACTAATTACATTATTCATAAGTACGAAGGTAACATAAAACTACTGGTCTGTCTAAATTACAATAACTAAAATAAGCTTGTTGTACAATGACAAGGAAACACAATGTCCTTTATAACAAGTAAATACTAAAAAAGTACAATTTGATTCTTTTTTTTTTTTTCCCTCATATAAATACATAATATCGGGGATAAATAATACAAAAAAGGGGAAAATATTTTAAACTGGCTATAACCAATAAATATATATGAATGTTCACCAGAACACACACCTATTGAAGGGCGTCTCGACTGAGGTGGACGAAAGCCCTTCAAAGTTGTTTTAATACCCATTATATGTAAACTCTAAGTGCAACAAAGATGTCCAGACAAGAAAGCATTAGCAAATACTAGTGATCCATTCACTTCTGCTTCGATTGGAGGACATTCCATTTGTTCAAATATACCCTGTTTTCACGTAAGGTCAAAGAGAAGAGGAGGAAAGAAGCGTAGGACTTCTAAGTCTCAAGATTGCTTTTCTGTTAACAAACCCCTAAGAAAAAAATACCCCCCCCAAAACTACAAACTTCACGTCATCGGAGGCAAAGGTGGGAAAATATTCAGACCTGTCAACTCTTTCTTCCTCTCTTTGGACTGCTCTTATTGTTGGGAGGGGGTTTAGGCATTTCAGAAACTTATTTCCTGAAACATTTGTAATTCTCAGAGCTCTTTTATTCTAATTTTTTTTTTTTTTTTTTAGTATTATTATTTTTGAGAGGGGAAGCAGGGAGCAGAGGGGAAGAGTGTGAATCCCACGCGTTGGCAGGTGTGTATATTTGCAGTTTGTGTGGGGGGCCAGTGGGAAGTTACTCGGTGAGAAAGGACCCCCCTGCTCTGAAGGCTGGAAAGGAAAGCACAGGTTGATCTTGAGGAGGAGTCAGAGGAGTGGGTAGTTTCCTTGTGAATCTCTTCTAATTGTGTGCATGTTTATGTGGGTGCAGAGACACCAACTGCAAAGACTTGGCTGGTGGACTCTTCTCCTTTCCAGTTGTCCGAGAATTGCCAGTGATGATCTGTGCCTGGGATGGAAATGAGGGGTGCTGCTGCTTCGGATCTGCCAGATTCCCACAAAACTACCCCAAACCCATTTCAGAAGCATTTGTGTTGAAACACAGGAGGTATATCTCTTCAGAGAGAGAGAGAGAGAGCTGCTTTAGGCAGTGAACACCGAAAGGGTGCCTGATAAAACCCAGAAACAATAACAGCGAGCACAACAACAACCCGGTGGAAACATCCCTGTCAAAGGAGGAAAGGAAACAGCTCAACACAAATGTTCCTGAAGCTGAGCCTGCCCTCTTCCCCTCTCCCCCATGGAGGGGTCCCATCTGCTTCACCTGAGCCTGTCCCTGGCTCCCTGTC